GAGATTTTACAAGAGCTTATGTAAAAGCTTCAGAAGTTTTTTTCGCCTTGAGACGTGCTGTGCTCGGAGCAGGGGGTGACATTCAGGGTTTCTCGTTTTCAATTACGGAGTTTGAAGGTCTGCCTCAACCTCCAATCCCGGCTTGCATGGTGGACGGTTCGACATGGGAACCAATAGTGAACACTCTACGAAGAGGCTTTTTCTGAGGACTTCAACTTTTTAAGACGTTTGATGACCAGTCTTACGTTTCTAGAATTTTGTGTCATTATGTCGGATTTCTGAACATTTTCGTAGTATAGTCATTTCTGATTACTTTTAATTTTCACCAGTTTGAGAGACGAGTCTCGACACTTCCCAAGTTTTKTGGTCGAATGTCAGATTAGTTAAAATTTGCGCACTGTAAAGTATTAAGTAAAAGCCACGAGTGCCGACCGTAGCTCATGGTCGGTTGTGGTTCGGATGCATCCAACCCAGAGAATAAGGATACTGTTACGACAACCAAACACAAGAGCATTAAGGGGGAAACAGGATGCTGGGGGATTTTACAGCACCTTATCTGCAAGCTGCAGATGTTCTTATGTCCTTGAGACGTGCTGTTGTCATGGCTGGGGGAGACGTTGTAGGTTTCTCGATTTCCATTACGGGTTTCGAAGGTCTGCCTCAACCTCCTATCTCGGTTTGCATTGTGCACGGTTCAACATGGGAACCGCTAGTGAACGCTTTTCGAAGAAACTTCTTTTGAAGATTTCAAGTTCGGGACACTTTGGTGACGAGTCTTACGTTTTTAGAGTTCCGTCAGGATGTCGGATTTGTGAATGTTTTTATAGTGTAGGCTTTTTTAGAGAAACATCTCGACATTTCCAAATTAGAATGTCCGATTAGTTGAAATTTCCACGAAAACTTTTTTGTTGATTGTGGACGGTCCGACATAGTCTTGCCAAATCTTTGGTTAATGAAAACTTTTCAGGTAACCGTTACGAATTTACAATATTGGGACCAGATAACTGTTATCAGTTTCTAAGGCGTACTTCTCATTTGTCTCGACAATGGTTGTGTGCCTGCTTATGTAGGCTGAGTGTCCCGCTCTGTTTTTTAATTTTTCTTCGCTTTTCAATCTAGTTCGAATGAGTTGTCAATTGTCTTGAAAATCCAGTGAGATCTTTCAAAATAATTATAAGGTCCTTGGTCACTTCAACATCTGATAATCTGTACACAGTTTGATTCGGATGTATCCTACGCATTCGTTTGAACCTTCTCCAATGCCCAATCCTCATATGATAAAGTCTCTACATAATATGCTCCCCACCACTTCACTCCGTACGATACCCGTTTATTTTGAGAAATGTTTGATAAAGTGATAATGTACATGCAACCACCATCTAATTGAAATTTAAGACTGATGGTTACTAGAGTTCTTAAGGGGTTCTCGAAGGTGCACTTTTGTTTGTAATATACATCATTTGATCTCGGCAAGAACAATGGCGGAGTTCTGGGCAGCATTGGGTAGGGAAGTTACAAGTTCATGGTTGCGAGGTCTTACCCGGCAAGCGGCAAATGATAACATCTTTGTATAATGCTGCCCACCACTTCACTCCGTCCGATGCCCTTTTGTTTTAAGAAATGTCTCCTAAGCTATAATTGTTCTTGGAATGATAACATATTGGTTAATTTTCCCTCGGAGGGTGATCCGGGCTATGATCATAAGTTCATCCTTTTGATTGAGTGAACTTCAAAGATATTTAATGAATGACGCACGGTTTTTAACATAACGGATTTTCTCCATCCGAATAATGAAATATTTGATTCGGATATATCCCAGTTTTACTATAAAACTAGCCAACTTGTGTATTATGGATTATATCGAAACATGTGACTCAGATGTATCCTACTCATCCTGCTTGTATTCAATTAAACTTCAAAAATGAGCTCTTTTTTTCACTCCCATGGACCCTTTGAAGCCTCAACGAAGACCTTTTTTGGGTCACTCATATACGTCCCTCACAAGGGGAAACCTTCGATATGCTACGTTTGTACTGACTGTCTGAATGTGTGCCAGTTTAGTCAGCCGTGTATACCTTTCGAGTTTCTCGAACGACAAAAGTACTATTTAGAAAATAATGTACTATTTTAATGAATAACATGTTACACACACACACACACACAACACCACACACACACACCGCTGTGAGGGGGAGTGTTCAGGTGGTTTGGGGGTGTTGAGCACAACCGGTGCATGGAGAAAGCCGGGCATCTCAAAGCCTTAGTTGCCGTGGTGTTTTCAGCAGATCATCCGACGGTGGGTTATCGCCATCGTGTCTACAAGGTTAGGGTTGGCCGATGCCAGAACGACGCTGGCCGGAGCTGGGGTTTGGTTGCACTACCCTGCAACCCAAGTATGCGGGGGTTAGAGGCTTGGTAGAGAGATCTGGGGAACTGCTGAGGGTGGAAGGCAGTCCAGTGGCTAACCGCGAGCTGGTATTAGGACGACGCGGGTCGGAGCTGGGGTGGGTCGCGCCGCCCTTTAACCCAGCGGTTGGGGGTGTGAGGCCTGGAAGAGCCTGGTATCTTGGATATGTGGGTTGAGGCAGCTGTAGGATAGTCTGTTGATAGCATTGGGGCAGCATGTTTTCAGAGAGACAAAAATCAGAAATGAAACCACCGCCAATCCAACTCAACCCTCAGTACAGGCGAGAAACCACCGCTCAGGCTTTCAGTCCTCGTACCAGAAGTCGCCAGTTCTCACCCCCCCTTTGCTAGGGTTACAAGGCAACACAAACTGTGCTGGGGCAGTTCGTGTTGCCCTGTAACCCTAGCAAGGGGGGTGTGAGAACTGGCGACTTCTGGTATGAGGACTGAAAGCCTGAGCGACGGTTTCTCGCCTGTAGTGAGGGTTTGAGTTGGATTGGCGGTGGTTTCATTTCTGATTTTTGTCTCTCTGTTTCATAATTACCATCAAATGGTAGGTGGCGGTTCTTCTGAGAATGTCTTAGGATTCTGGGTACTTCTTGCAACTCATTATAAGCTTCTTTGTTGCTGTTAGATTCATGGACCTGCGATTTTTCGATGCCAGAACGACGCTGGCCAGAGCTGGGGGGTTGCCCTGTAACCTGTCGATGGCAGGGGCGTGAGGCCTGGTAGAGAGATCTGGGGATGCCTTGGGCCGGGCATTCCAAGGGAAAACCAAGGGTTGCTGTCGGGACAATGCTGGCCGGAGCTTGGGGTGAGTTGTGTTGCCCTGTAACCTAGCAGGGTGGGGGCATGAGGTCTGGGAGAGCCCGGCAGGGAATCAGACACTGTTAGAGAATTTTAGAGTGTTTTGTGGGAGTTTCCAGTGATTCTGAGCATTCGAAGGAATTTTTTTCTAAATTTTCTTGGATTTTTTCTGATTTTTTTCATAAGTTCTCAGATTGCTCTTAGCCGAAGCCAGGTAATGGCCCTGGCATTTTAAATCATTTGTATAATTTTTACATGGGACGCTGGGCCCGGTTCCCAGCACGTGTTGCTCCCCACGAATGGATAGGAGTTTTTGTCCCAGAAAAAAAAAAAAAAAAAAAAAAGTGTAGCAGTGTATATTTCCATGTTCTAGCCCTAGATTCATTCGTTTTTACTCATCCCATGGATGGAAGTAGCATGAGGCCAGCCGCAAGGTTGGAGACTTACATGTTCTCTCTCTCTCTCTCTCTCTCTCTCTCTCTCTCTCTCTCTCTCTCTCTCTCTCTCTCTCTC